CCCATATGTTAAAAAGCAATTGTCTGCGTGGCTTGTGTTGTTTCCCTCTTAAAGTGCCTCTTCTTTCGGCTGTATGTCAACTAAAGATGCATGGAAGATAAAACATTGTACGTATTTTTTTTCCTTCTACAAGGTAACACGAAGGTCGACGAGAACAAGTTCGAGGCAAAACTGGAAACGCAAATTCGATGAAGGACCAGTGGCACACAGAACAAAGTTTTCTTTATATATTTTTTGTATTTCTCGGTTCGCAACCTCGACGCAATAAGACCGTTAGCCTTCCGATGCTAAATTGAAAACGTGTGTTTGTATTTATACGTGTTCGTCTGTGTCGCACAAGAACGACATTCCGGAATATTAAATAATTTTTTAAATATATATTGGTTTAAGTGTGATTTAAGTTAATTAAGGTTAAAAGCTTTTCATGCCTTCCTGAATTTTAAATCAAATCTGGATACTCTCGAAACATTATTGATCAGAGAAATATATATAATATTTTTACATTATTTGAGTAGCACATATATATTTTGGTTACCTATATATATATATATATATATATATTAATAAAAACAATGATAATAATCTTCGTTATCAAAAATGACTTCAGTTTTTCATAAATCTAAAAAAAGTGACATGATTAATCTCTATTTTTTATATAATATAATATTTAATATAATAATTAATACAATCATATCTTTGGAAGAGGAATTTGTCTTTTAATAAGATTAATCCGAATTAATCTTTCTCAGATCTGCCTTGCGACATGTTGCAATAAATGTAATGTTAATAATGCAATGTTAATAATTTGATAAGAATTTCATATGATCGTGTCTAATAATAGGAGAAAAATAATTTTTGAAAATTGGAAGCGACTTTATACAATATGTATTATTAAGAAATCGAGGTATTGATTTTATGCATACATCATGTCGGTGATTGGTGTAATAAACTGATTTTTAACTGGAAATTTCATGTTTTGTTTTTAGATCCCCTTTGCATATATCAGCTCCACGCTGATTAAAAATACAAACACGACGCGTTAAACCTGCCGCGATAAAGGCTATTTATAGTCTATACTTGTGTAAGTAAAATTGTCATTATAATGCCCCGTTCTTATTTTAAGAAAGAGATTATTGAATATTTGCGTATAATTGCACAAGAGACTTTCAGGAATATTACTCTAGTGATTATAGAATCATTATATTATATACGTGAAAAAAATTATTCAATAAACAAATTCTTTAATTCTAGAATGCATACTCTTATAAGGCAGATTTAAGAAGAAAGATACATGAAAGAGCTCCATAGAAAATTGTTTGAAAATCTCTAAAAACTTTTTCTTAGCTCTTCTTATTATCGTATTTAGTATTACTGATGCTACACAGAGAGAATTTTGTTTTAGAATTCTTCCTGAAAATCATGATGATAGTCATGGGGCAATGAAAGAATTTTATAAATTTCTCTGATTAATATTTATCGCAATAAAAATATTAATATCTACAATAAGATATGAAATATGTTCAATTAATTTTATTATATATGTACATAGTAAAATTTACTATGTACCTATACATATTAATACTTTTTATTAGTATAAATATTAATCAAAGAAACTTATAAAATTCTTCCATTGTTTCACGATTACCATGATTTTAAGGGTGCGAATTCTAAAATAAAATTCTCTCCGTATATATATATATATATATTCGTGTACTTAATACAAACATTCAATCAGCTGTATGTGTGTGTGTGTGTTTGCGTACTCGTTTTACATCATATCCAATTTCTTACGCTTAACGCTAAATATGACGTCGATTCCAGTTAGAGGCATTAATAGAGGCAAGTGCCATAATGTACGACCGCTATTCGCGCGTACACATATGTACGTAAACGTTAAACACGGCATATGTCGTGAAACGGCAACATTCCGCACACCGGCTTACCTCGGGGGACAATCACGAATTAATTAATCGTCGAATAGGCGTTAGCGAATAAAGCCGTACCGTAATAATGGCGCTGTCGACGGCGATTAAAAGGCCGCGGCAAAAAGATGACGCGGAGAGAAAGTCAGGGAGCTCCGCGTATACGCCTATGTCCGGTCATTGCACTACATAATTCCTTTTTAACCTCGCGCGCAAGTGATGACCGTTCTACGGTCATGTCGACTCGGAGCTCTCGGAATTTTATCGAATTGCGCTTTCCGGTTGTTGTCGCGATCGTATTTCGCCCGCGATTGACAGGATACGAAAGCACGTGGCGAGCCGGAAGACCGTGTCATGTCCACAACACGGAAGGAATGTGAGAGAAAAGGTCACGTGCCGCCGCCGCCTTCTCGTCTTATCATAAAAATTGCGCTTTCGGAAGTCACAACTTTCTCACTAGCGTGAACGCCTTGGCAAACTTTAAACTGGTTTTCGTTTAGCAGAAATTTGCCGGAGAAATTTATCGAAAAGAGGCATCGCGTCTTTTCTCAAATTTCCTTTAATTAATTAAATAAATATATGATTGAAATCATATAGTTTTTTTAAAAAAACGATAACTAAATTTCTAAAGCACATCTTGTCAAATCAGTTATTGCGTTTACGGATGGATAACGAAATTAGTTTTTCACGAAAATTTTAAGAGATTTGGATCGCAAAAAAATTTTGTTATATATTATTTCTTTCAATCTCTCCGAACTTCCTGTAATTACTAAAAGATTAATTACTAATACGATTTGAAAATCATATTCATGATGAATTTTGACATTCGCGGAAAACATTACGACTCTAAATTAGTCGCATCGCTCTGAAAATAAATCTTACTCTAAAATAATTTCGATCGTTCTAAAAATAAATTTTACTCTAGGGAGAAGAGATTGATGCGAGAGGGCAATTTATATAATGCAGAGACAACGAGAAGGGTAAAACTCGTGTACGATAAACGCTCGACGAATGCGGAATTAATGATGACCTTGCCGATCCACCGGCAAGAAGTATCGCGCACTTCCGGTTGATCATTCATACACCAAGACTGTGATCCAGAGAATGCGCGCACGTGTGCGTCACGTATAATATATCGTTCTTAATTGCCGCTTATCTGGAGACGTAATTATCAATGACTAATACCCTCCGAATAAGCTCAACTTGAATTTTTTTATCACTCGCTAACTCGATTAAACGCTAATAAAATTCCGAGGAGTCTCGATAATTGGCGAGATATTGACTGCCAATTTTTATAAATATGGCTCGTGATTTATATGTTTGCAAATAAACAACAATTTCCCACTATAAATTCTACTGCTAATTTAGTATAATTATTTGGATGATAAATTTAAGAAATTTATCAATATGGTTTTAATTAAATTATGGAATATTATTATGATTAATGAAAAGATTTTTTGTAGAATATAAACTTGTTATAAATCACAATAATAAACAACTATTTATAACTGCTTGAATAATAATTATTATAAATGTGCCTATTTGTATGAATATTTTAGCTAGTAGTAATATAAATTATATCCCATTTATCTCTTTTCTTTTTGCTGATTATACATGAATGCAAATTATTTATTTTAAATTTATGTATACGTTTTTTCAATTTATATCAATAAATATATTAAAATGTATTTGTGTAGGTATGTGACAACTTGAGAAAATGATTGAATGCTTTCAATCCGATTTTAATATCATTTAATTATGACTTTCTTATACATAGAGGCTGTCCAGTAATAATCGCCTCATTTATCGTGTGAAGATGAAGCGACTTTAGAAAAGTCTTTTGCTGTTTTGCGAGCTTCACAATAATGGCCAAGTATATACAAGCGCGTATATAGAGAAAAAGAGACAGCTCAATGTTACGCGGTTATTAAGCGTGCGACGAAGCGTCGGGATTAATAATCAAGTTTAATTATGTATTGCGCCTAGCGAGCGTGTAACCTGTAAAGTGGGGTGTCTCTTCTCGTCCCGCGCTTATATTTGCGCGAATTGACCGAGCTTTTTAAAATTATTTCTCATTAATTATTGCGAAGATCGCAAAACGGATTTCCTACTTGCTTTAATCAGTTCTATCTGGACACGATGACTGGACATTCTGTATATATAAGTCCCAACATAATAACCGTTCCACGTTGTGATCAATTTCTTTTCTTTATTTTTATGGATATTTTGTTTCTATAAATGTAACATCTACTTACATATATTTTTTATAGAATAGAATAATTAATAAATAGCTTAAAAGGGAGCTTCGTAAGCCTTACGAAATAATGTTTAATTATTGATTTTACGTAGTGTATATATGTATCCTTCCATATAAAAAGTAAAAAATACTTTTTTAAAATAGCAAATTAAATGCCATATAATTTTGGCATCCTTTAAGTCGATCTTTTTATTCCTAGTCAGGCAGGGTGTCCAGCAGATTCAATAAAAAAAATTCCCTGACTTTTTCAGATTTTCCAAGACCAGAATTAATTTTTTCCCAAACTTTTTAGTATTATTTTTCCAAATATATAATTTGCATCTATATGATAAATCAATTAAATGTTAAATCATGAAATCCTTGAGACATTTTTGTCACCAATGAAAAAGATTCGGAAGTTAAAAAAACAAAAATTTAAATCAATTATACAATCTGCATTATGTACGATAATCGAAATAAATATGTCACTATAAACTATTTAAATAATCACCTTTTTTATTTATATCAATTTTTTTAGTTTTGTCTCTATCAAACAGTAAAATAAAATAACACAACGAAAAGTAGCGTGCTCGAATCAAGGAAAAGTTCATATTTATTTAATAAAAAATTTCAAATTATTACGAGACAAGTGTAGAATAATGTGAAAAATCCAGATAAATAGTAACATTTCCTGACTTTACCCTGACAATTCCAGATTTCCCTGACCACTAGACACCCTGCTAGTATTCGTATATTTGATAATAAAATTATGATAAAATTATAAAATATAAATCGTGCCGATAAACGCGTAAATTGATAAAAACAAGAAGTTTCATTCTCACCTTTGGCCCATCCGGTCAGCACGTTTCCGAGATACGCGACTTTGTAGGAGGGATCGTACTCGGTTATCGACACGTTGCCTCTGTGTCGTCTCCAGAGTCGGCCCAGTCCTCTCTTCAAGGACCTCAGTGTCCTATGACCGAACTCCTTGCTGGCGCCAGCCGGTTGCATCGTCCCATCGTTCTCATCGACAGGATCCGCGACGACGTCACCCATCGTCTTCATCTTCGCGCCGCGTGTTCTCACTCGCGGAGAATTTGTCCTCGATTTTTCGCGTTCGTCTCTAATTCACGTAAAAATATTCCTCCTCGACTGAACCACCAACACTACATCGTGTCACTGCTGCCTCGCTGTATTTTATCGTCCGATATATCGATGAGGAGAATAAATCTCTTGCTTGTACGGCCGGAGCTAGATGAATGCGAGCTGTCGCGAGACTGACGACCGGTGTCAGCGATCGAGGGAGATTGCAAAACTCGGAATAAATTGTCGGCACGTTAATAAGTGACTGCCGATCACTCAGGAACTGTCTATTATTCGCCGTTTTCAAGGCTGTATTCTCTCTTCCCCTAGCGGTGCTCGCGCGTGCGCGAAAAAGTCGCGGCTTCGTTCTTTTCTAAGATCCCGCGTGTCATCTCCTTCTCTTCCGCAAGTGTCACTGCGCGTTCTTCTTGCCCGCCGGCAAGATTCACAATGTGTCTCTGAAATGAAACGAATGAAATGAAACGTTAACATAAGGCTTGTTCAAAGTCACTCGCTGACATCGTTTAACCTAATATATTGTACTATTTTTTCAACTAGAATAGATTCAAAATGCGATCAGAAATGCGCGAAATAATTCGCGAAAGTAGGTTGAAGTTGATCGATTAGAATTTATTGGATCGCGGTCAAACTCGTATAGATCAATATGATCTTGTAGACTATGTTGAGTTTTACAATGCTGTTTACAATGCTGTTGAAAAATGTAGTGACTTATTAGTTAGAATTATTATAATAGAATCCATTAAAAAATTTCTTTTATTTTTCTAGATTTTATGATTATATGAGAACATCCAAATTGGTATGTTGTGAAAATAAATCATTTACATAAAGTAGTGTTTGATATCTAAAAGCTTCTGATGTCTACTTTTTAGCTTTATGACTTTAATAAAATTTCTTTATTTAAAATGTATCTTATAGAAATGTTGCGAGGACAAGTGTACAAATATAACAGAATTTATTTAGAAAGAATTCACTGATGAAAAAAATATCGATAAGATAAAGTATATAATAAATGCAAAAATTTTGCAAAACGTAATAAATTAAAAAAAAATTGCATTTCGAAATTTCTATCGTTATGATAGATACCTAATATGAAAGCATTAGTTATTTTTTATGGAAAAAAGTCGTAATTAGGTATCAGCGAGCCACTGCCAATCGATATTAAATTAGTTTTATCCGGTATATCTTGTTCAAAGTAAACGTTCAAGTATTATGTACGTAACGATATCAACAAAAACACGAAATTGCGCATTTTTTGCAGAAATTGTGCCAACATGAAAAATTAGTTTTTTCCCTCTCACGCAACCCGCGTAATGAACTTATATACAGAACTCCCGTTGATAAGAATTTAAATGAGAACGAAAAGCAAACTTACGGTTTCGTGCCTTTTTAGTACAAGGCTGTTGTGTACTACGCTTATAAGACCACACTTTACGAGACTATACGAGATATGGCGAGTACGCGCGTTTGTCCAATTAATTTATCGCAACGGAAATTACGGTTTTCACCGGAAGTCTTGCTGGTCAAGCGGCCGCGAGATTTCTCAACCCGCGCCGAAATTTGTTTAACGCAGATCTTTTCGTTCGCGCAATAAGTGCAACGTTTCGTCCAACAATGAAATTTGAGACTTATAAATAAAAAATATGGTTGTATAGTATACGCAATACAAATTACATATGTCATATAGAAATCGTAAATATTTTTTTGTTTTTTTTTTTCGAACGCTTATTTATTTGACCGTTAGAGTTCGCATTAAAAAGATTGATTGCGACTGTAAATTCAGTTTTCTGTTAGAGAACTATTTCGCGCACTGCTGGAGCATGGCGGTCGGTTGCCTCAACATTGCGAAAGAACATTGCGAGAGAAACATTTCCGGACTCGTATGAAACATTTTTTGCCTCGTCTGAAAGATGCATTTTTTTCTAGTTCTAAAATTGTCAGTCATTATTCGTTAAATATCTCACATTATCGCGTTTCGCGCTACGCTACTATGTTGTTTACGAATATTTGTCATAATTGAAACATGTGTGTCCGGTGCGGATAATTGCTTTTGTATAACCGGTATATAGTTATGCAGCGGCAGGTGGATTTCTGTTGTTACGTTTAAACGTGACTTACCACGCTTCTTGCTAAATAACTATGGAAGATAAAAATTGTGCCGCAGCACGTTTTCGTAACCCCGTCGCACACAAACCTTTTCTTTGTTAGAAAGATTTACAAACACAAAAATATTTCAATGTAACAAATATTTTTTTAGAAAATGTATTGAAATATATTGAATGTCGAAACATTTCAACTTTAATATTTGTGAAATTACTTCTGCAATTTGTTGTACATACATTTATTTAATGTATCAACCTATATCGCTTCTGTGATATATACATATATTACGTAGTTATATAATGAATTGCGTTGAAGTAAACAAATAATATATCTTCACTCGTTCTAATAGCAACCGCAGCTCACTCATATTATGTATTAGAATAATCATTCGTATTCCGTCACTAATCTTGAAGTTTAGCGAACTTGATGTATATGTGTATCGAGTAAAACAATAATTATTCCTTTTACCAAACAAAAATTTTCAATTAAGAAATACACATCTTTAATTCAATTTTCGAAACAAGCAAATTTTCCTCGATACACATGGACAGACTTATATGAATAATATTTATATTGCGTTTGAAATGTATGAAGTAAAAACACGTGTGATTATCATACAACGATCATTATTTGAATTTTTATGTTCAAAACATGACAATCTTGGCACATAAAAAAGCGACAGGTGTAACTATCGCAACAGAATAAAAACAAGTACATTTGCACTAATGTACGTTTCATTTACACATATATATTTAATGCGGTTGCGTAAGTTATGTAATTAGGCAAATCGTACAAAACAAATTGTTCTATGATTAAAAAAGAAAAACAAAAAATAAAAAAAATAAAAAGTTATCGTGTCTATTTTTCATATTATATACGTATTTTATTATTTTTATTTATTATTATTTATTTATATTGATTATATTATATTTTGTTATATTATATTACAACTTTTAGATAAAATTAATATTTACTTTAAAATTTGGAAGTCTAAAACTTGAGGAAAAAAACGTACATTTCGTCATTGCATTTTTTACGATGAAAGAATCTCAAGATTCGCGTAATTTCGTAAAAAGAATCCGCAAAGCAAATATATTCTCGTTTAGAGCACATCTTAAGATTACCGAGAATATATTTAAAAATAGTCGGCAAATTTGCATTTGTGTAAGCGGGAACATGGATGATGCTTTACAAGAAGAATCAGTAATTTAATAGAAATAAATTACTATAGATTTATTAGTTCTAGAATCTATCATTATTGTAATCTATCGTATCATTAATGTTATCTATCGTAATTGTGTATAATTGAAAACACGCCCTCGGGAAAGGCAAACGTGCATAAAACGGTACGTTTAAAACTCACATATTTTTTCATTGTCATCATCGCTTTGCGGATTAAATCACATTACGTCAAGAATGACATTAGTCGCACGAATTGTCAACAGTCCATATATATTTCGTTGTAATTGCAACACGTTATATTGTGCGACACGTAGTTTGATAATCTTTGCTGTTCAAAGAAAAAGAAAAAAAATACTAACTAAGACTAAGACACTCGATTGTTCGATCTCGCTTCTTCGCACGATCTTCGGTCGCAAACAGAGTTTAATTCACGCAGGTATTTAACCCCGATGTCGACGTGTACGTGCATCAATTACGATCTTGCAAATAACTCGAGGCACAACTCGCCATTTGGTTAAAATAAATTTTACAGTGATGCTTTGGAATCATAATGCTCAAGTTATAATTAAAATATAAATTTTTTTATTATAATTGTGAAATTCCAAATTCCAATTAATTATAAACTAAAATTAAATTAATATTATTTAGACAGAAATCAAAATGTTCTAAGATTGTACTAAAAACCAAAGAGACATAATAAGTTACTTTATGTATACATACATATGTATGTTTGGCCTTTAAACTAGATGTAAAATAATTTAAAGTAATTTAGTATATAAAAACAAAAACTATTAAATATTTTAATTTAAATTTAAAGTAAACTAAAAATAAACATATATAAAGTAAACATAATTATTTTAAGACATAATTTTATTTTGCTTTCTCGTGTTATCCTATATTAAATCATATAATCAGATAAAACATCCTGGAGCTATTATACGAAATTTAAAAATATATCTTACTAGGAAATAAAGATAATTTGCACTGTTACGTAATCCCGATGCTTCGAATGATTTCATTACTCTGCTAATTATCGCAACTCACAAATGATCCCTCTTTATATTCAGCATTCTTTATAGGAATGCTACACAGTCGCTGTTGTAATGACGCAAGAAACATTGAAACGACAACTATGCACGTACAACCGTTTATTTGCTAATTAGTCTTTGCTATTATATATATAGAAATGCAGGACAGAAAAGCAGACCAACGGAATATTCCGCTGACACGTGAGCGAACGAACAAGAAAAATCGTTCGAATTTAACCTTTTGTCTGATTATAATACCATCAGAAATAATTATTTACTTATCGAACAGCTATTTATAAAAGGTCATCGTAAAATTTCTTTTTATTGTTATGTGTGTGTGTGTGTGTGTGAGCTCAATTTAAAATTCTTACAAAAATACGAATGAAATCATAGGATAATTTGGATAATAAATATATGCATATTTATTCTACGTTTTTATAAAGCAAGTGACATATTTTTTCCATTATAATAGCACAGATAACGTGAAAAAAGTAAATAAGAATCGACACACATTATGTATTCATATTTTCCAATTCATAATTCATAAATTTATTTAAAATTTTTTTATGTAAAAATCTTTTTATAGGCAAATGTAAAATACGTGTAACACGAGCATTGAGAATATCATATTGATTGTACATATTCGTGACCGAGTCACAGATTTGTCGAATCTTTGATCGCGAAATTGCTAAATCGCAGAAAAATAAATGTGTTTAGCAATGATATGATCACTCATTTACAATATCACAGAATTATATAAAAAACAAGTATATTTGATCGTACCTGAAGCTTTCGTTGATCTGTATATATAATGCTGACGATAGACGAATCTTTTTAGATAAATTAGAATTTATCACTCACAATCAGATTGCAATATATTTCGCGATATGCACTGAAAAAAAGTTTGTTAAATTAACAAATATTTAGTTCAATACGTTCAAATAAATGATTTATTGAACGTATTGAACTAAATATTTAACAAACTTTTAATTTAACAAACTTTTTTTTCAGTGTGCAGTTCTTTCAATTATTCTATTATGGAATTCTACGTAAAATGTTAATCGCGAAGGTCGTAATGTGTTACATAATTATTAACATTAGTAATCTCGGTAATTCTCCTAAAAAAA